TGATTTGCTCGTTTGTTTTCCATGTTATAGGATCAACTAACTTACATGCACTTTATTTTCCTATTTGCCCATTTGTGATATTCTAGCGTGACTATCACTTTCAAAAAAGTAAAACTCTTTAGATTTCCTAGAAAGAAAACAAAACAGCTGACATGGGAAGAAAAACAGTTAAGTTCAGGACTTTCTGAGGGAAAAAAGTACCATATTCCACAATGACTTGTTGTAGATCATGGAGCTGTAATGAATTAGTAACATACATTATTTCTTGAGGTTTGTTAAAGGTGGCTTAGAAAAAGTCTACTATAGGAAACCTCATTGCTAAGTACCAAGTACCAGTCAAACCAGGACTTTATAAACCTCAAAGTTTGTTATACACAATCTCATTTGATGCTCACAGTATCCCTGTGAGACAGATAATTATCTTCATTATCTCCTTTATCCCTAGTTGAAGAAACAGCTTGTGGTTACAAAACTAGTAAACGTCTGAGGCAGGATCTGTGCCCACATCTTACTAGCTTCAAGTTCAGTACTTTTTCCCTCTACGCAACACTGCCTTTTAGCATAAAGATTTAATAATCAATGAAATTCTTTATCTTAGAAAAGGAATGGTTTAAGGAACATGGTTATGTAAGATTATTATTCTCTAGTAAACTTACTTCTTTCTAATATAATATGATACACTTCTGTCCTATGAAGTTAGATTTTCAATCCTTAATTATTTTTTGTTACACTATACCTTTTGACATTTGAAATTCCATTCTTCTAAATAAAATGTTAGGAAAAATGCTTGGAAAGTGCTATCTTTTCTTCTATAAAATACTACTGAAGACTGAGAGATAATCAAAGAATGATTTTCTGATTAATGTGTGAGAGACGACCTTAGGCAAGGCAACCCAAATTAGTTTTAAATTCATCTTTTCTTGATTTAAAAAAAAATGAGAATGGTAATTGGCACACGGCTGCTGACTTCTCAATTCTCTAAGGCATATGTGAAACATTCCACATTATTTGGAATGTTTTACAAGTGGTTGCTACAATAAAAAAAGGTCATTATTATTGTATACTTCACACAACATGCTTCTAAAGACATTATTGCATTGTTCTCTTGTTTTCTTAAATTTTGTTCCCAGCTAGGATCTGAGGGGAGGATTATGGATACAGTTTGGTATAAGTGAAATGGGAGGAGATTGTAGAATAAGAAGCATCTTTCCAGATTAGCCATCAGTTTAGTCAGGTTCAGGCAGGCTGGTCTCCAGGAAAGTCAGCGTTAGTGGGATTTCCAAATCTCATTCAGGTCAAGCAGAGTCTGGTCCAGCATCCTTTGTATGCAGAGGTATACCTCTTTGGTGCATTTCAATTTGCCTGTCAACTCATCACTTATTTTTTCAAGCTTTATTGCCAATCTCAGTAAATTCAACAAAGGTCTCTCTGCATGCTTGAGTTTACTGGGTATGATATTAACTCCTCTACAAATTTATCTTCGTTCTGAGAATACTTTTCTTTAGGAACATTAAGATATTTCAGATTCTGAACCAGATAACCTTATCTGCTCATCTCTCTCCTGAAGATGGGACTCAGGTAGTCAGTTCATTCCAAATTTTTTACAATCATCAACAACTTGGGACATCTCCTGCTTCCTGGGCATTTCTGTGATGTTCTTTTCCTCTTTAACTTGGATTCCCTGGAGCCTCATCTTTTCATCTTTCAGAACCAGATTTTCAAATGACCTTCATACTTTTTTGTGACTATTAGATTTGTCTTATGGTCTATGTTTCTCTCTCCAAATTCCACTAGAAATGCTAAGACTATTCACTGTATAATCATCAAGCTATTGCAGAGCTTCAATTTGGTGTTTCACTATTTCTATGGTGACACTGGCCATAGTGCCTGTTGCATGCAGGTTCCCACTCTTACTGTGCCTCAATGTGGTCACTCCTTCTCAGCTCATAATCATAAATGTGATTCTCTATTGCTACTTATTTATAAACTTAAAGTATCTTCATTTTGATAAATAAATATCTAGTTTAAATATAAGAAGATTTTGGATGTATTTAAATGTAGTATTAAAAGCTTGAAATCAATCTTTTCAGTTTAAATAATTTTTGTCTTGTTAATAAAAGATCACAATTATTCCTGAGGAATTACGTCCCCAAAGCAACTGTATATGCCCTTTGACCCAGTAAAACTACTACAAAGTCTATTCACCAAAGAGATCAAAGAAAAAGGAGCAATATGTACAAAAATATTTATAGCAACTGTTTCATGGTGGCAAAGAACTGGAAACTGAGGGGGTGCCCACGAATTGGGAATGAATGGCTAAACAAGTTACAGAATATGTATGTGACAGAATGTTACTGTATTTTAAGAAATGATGAAGCTGATGGCTTTAGGTAAACCTGGAAGGCTTATATAAACTGATGCAAAGTGAAAGGAGCAGAACTAGGAAAACAATTCACAAAATAACAATATTGTAAAGACAAATAACTTTGAAAGACTTAGGAACTTTGATCAACAGCATACAATGAACCACAGTTTCAGGAAGCTCATGATGAAACATGCTACATACACCTTGATATAAAAAGGTGATGGACTCAAGAGTACAAACTAAAGTATATGTTTTTGGGGGGCACAGCTAATGTGGGAATTTGTTTTGCTCGACTATTTATATTTGTAATGGGTTTGAAAAAACCCAATATTTAAAGATAGTAGCAACAGATTTCTGGAGTGTTTGGAAAAAATAATTCAGAATCAGTGAATAAACATAAGTATATTCACTTGAGCATGGCAGGCAAAATGAAGTCAAAATTAACATAACAATTTCCCTAAAATAAGTTTAAAATAATTAAATGTGAAAAACATTATCTCTTCAGCCCATTAAGATGAATGCAACCATCTGAAAAAATGTGGTCTTATATATTCAGTTTTCACTAGATTTTTCTTATAGAGATTGTTAGACTGATGTTGCCACCATATTGCCAGATCTTTTTCTAGACTTTTAGGCAAATATAAAAGCTACAATGTGTGCTAGAACTTAAAAGTGCATATGTAATTTATATATAACTCAATAATTTATTACATGTAAGAGGCAAACTATATACTGGACTGTCCCAGTATGGATCCTGAATATCTGCATTATTCTTAATCCAATTTAGGAATAGGTCATTACTCTTGTAAATAAAGTATCTAAATGCTATTTACTAGTTCCTTTTCAGCTGAGAGTTTATGATTCTATTGAAGGCCAAAAAAATTGTTTTCTCTCACTAAATTCGAGGTTTGTATATAAGATGTAAGATGGACCTTTTTTTATACAGGAAAATGAAATCACTTCCCTATTGTGTTCTGCTTCCACTGAAATTATGACATATAGCTACAGATGAAATTATACCTTGTTGAAATTAAAACATTAAAATGTGCTAAGTGTAAAATAGGTCGAAACCATAAAGGTTTGTGAAAGAATAGCAATGACATTAAAAGAAATGGCACAGTATAGTAGATGGAGTGCTGGTCTAGGAGTTGGGAAAAAAACTTGGATTCAAATCCCACCTCTGATGGTAGTTAGCTGGGATAACATGGGGCAAGCCAATAAGTCTCTGTAAAATCTTGTATAGAAATATGTAAAACTCTTGGAAAAAAGTTTTTAAGAGAAAATAGATCATTATGAATCTAATACTTTCCAAGGGAGAGACAGCTTTGAGTATCCAAGTATGACTTCTTAAAAAAGCATATTCTCAATTGTAAATTAACAAAACTGTAAGTATAAAGGATTAGACTCTCAACCTTTTGTGAACATAACAGGATATAAAACTGTTGGAAAGAATACACTCCCTGTTAATCTCTATGTTCTTTAGAAGCTCAGTTCCAGTGCTATTTCCTAAGCAAACTCTTTCCAAATTTCCCCCATTGTGAGTACTCACGAAATTATTTCAATTTATTTATATTTAAGAAGACATTTGCAAAGTGACTATTGGTTAAAGAAAGGTACTAGGATACAAAGACAAACTAAAAATAGTTCCTTTTCCTTAAAGAATTTATGATACAAGTATAAGTAAATACACAATATATACTAAGTAAATTTAAAAAGTAATTGGGGGTGGAGCAAAGACCACTGAGAAAAGCAGGAAAGGCGTGGTAGAGGAGGAAGCACCTGAGCTGAACCTAGAATTCTGAGGGATTCCAAGAAATAAAGATGGAGAGCATTCCTGGTTACAGTGGCACAGAGGAGAGAAATCAACTATTGTATAGAAAATAGTAAGCAGGCCAGTTTGCTAGAACAGAGTGCTTGAGAGGTAATAATTTTAAATCTCTCAACTGGTTATTAAAAAATACATGAAATACATAATAAATAGATGGATATCCTAACAGGGCAGCTAGATTGCACAGTGGACAAAGTGCTGGCCCTGGAGTAAGGAAGATTTGAGTTCAGATCTGACTTCAGACATTTATTAGCTGCATCATCCTGGGCAAGTCACTTACCCCTGTTTGCCTCAGTTTCCTCATCTGTAAAATGAACTAGAGAAAGAAATGGCAAACCATTCCAGTATCTTTGTCAAGAAAACCCCAAATGGGGCCACAAAGAATCAGACATGACTGCAACAACTGGATAACAACGATTACGACAACAACAACAACAACAACAACAGTTACCAGATGTCCTAATCAGCTACTATTTTATAAAGTTCAATTTTCACTCCTAAAGATGACAAGTCTGTAGTGAATTTTTATAGCACATTTAAGAACATCAAGCCTATTCTCAATAGTATGAAAATAATGAATACAAAACAGAAAATATACATTTGTATAAATTTTTATGATTGATCAGTAATGTTGAAAAGTACATTATTCAAGACTATGAATAATGACATAGTCATTGTTCCTTGCCACTACTCCTAATAAGTATATAAATTCAATAATTAATAGATTAAATAATTTTAGCAACACACAAGAATTATCTACCTTTGAAAGTGGTCTAAAGAAAGGAAAAATACCATTAAAAAGGATACAAATTTTGGTACAATGGGATCAGTGATTTTAATGCACGGCTTGCATTTATAGCTGTAGCTCGAACCATAATGGGAAGGACTTTTCCATTTACAATAGCACCATCAAAAAGTGGACCAAAAAATGGAACCTAAATCAGAAATTAGAAAGTTATTTTAGAGTTTAATATATTCACTAAAATATTAACAAAACAGGTGTAACAGCATTATCTGCATATGGTAGTTTTAGGAATATTAGTCTGGTATTTTAATTGTATTCTATGATAATCAATACATGTATTTATATAACGAGAACAGGACTTGGGAGTTGGGTGACCTGATTCCAAATAGTAGCTATGATACTAGCTTTATAACCAGTGGCCAAATCACTTTTTCCTGGGCCTCAGTTTCCTCATCTGTACATGGAGATAATGCTTACAGTGACTGATTTACAGGACTACTGTGACAAAGAACTCTGTAAATTTTTAAATACTACATATACATTACTAATAAGAAGACAATCACCCTCCTCCAAAAAAAGAGAAGGCAGAATTCTACAGAATACCCATGTGAAAATATTGTAATAATAATAGTAATAATTAGCATTTATATAACACTCCAAGGTTTGTAGCGCACTTTATAAATATTATGTCACTGGATCTTCACAGAAACCTTAGGAGATAAGTGCTCTCATTCTCTCCATTTTACAGATGAAGAAACGAAGGCTGACAGAGGTTAAATGACTTTTCTAGCTAATTTCCTGACTCCAGATCCACTGTGCCACCTAGCTGCCTCTTTTCGTGCACGTGTATGTGCGTGTGTGTGTGTGTGTGTGTGTGTGTGTGTGTGTCCGCACTAATGCAGAGAATATTCAATTTTCTACTACCACTAACTCTTTAATTTTGATTGGGTGGCTTTGGCCAATTCTTGCTAATGTTTTTTGCTGTGGCTTCTCTTGTAGAAGGCTTGGACAATAAATATGGGAATGGGAAACTGTCTCATTCACCTCCTGACTCTGATGGGGCTAAGGACATATTAATTAATTCTTAGAATGCACATACCTTTTTTTTTTAAAGCAAAACTGTGAATAACTTAGCAAATACATTATTAAAAAATTAAAGAAAATGCAATCCACATACCTCAGGTTTTTTCATTATCTGGATACTGAACATGTGGTTTTTCATTGGATATATTACAATAAGGACATCACCAAATTCTGTAGGGATAATTCCTCTTCTATAGTCTCTAGTATGTTCTGACCAAACAATGTGCACTTCATCATTTCCTAAGTGTCGCAACTAGGAAAACAAGAAAGTAATAGTAACAAAACATTGCATAAAATACGTAAATACGTGTAGTCCCACAGCTATAGATACCAATCATTCCAAACTGTGCTATGATATCAAATTATCTTAAGAAGTAAAGAGGTTAAAAAGCTTAAAATAAGATTTTAAAATGTTCAATGTGAATATCAAGAAAACATGTAAAACACTGGACACTATAATATGAAGAAAAGGAGAAAGCACAGGTAAAAGAAATTCACAGATAATCAAAACATTCTCTTTTAGTTAAGTTTCAACTTCTTCCTCTACAAAGCACATTCTGAATAAAATTAAAATGTAGAAAAACGAATGGCATTGAGTTTCATTTTCTTTCTGAATACTCTCCTTGAATAAGAAAGTTATCACTTTAGATTTAACAAATTTATTATTAGCTTATTTACTTTAGCATCTTATAAATTTCTCCCCAATTTTTACCAATAATTGTTAGACCCTAGAGATCTCATTTAGACATTTAAGCTGCTCACTAATTGTTATACCACAGGCAGTGAGGCAGCCCACATCTTCAAGGGGATCAGTCCCTTCTACCAGAGAAGACTCTTTAATTTATACAAAATGGACTACACCTCCTAGTCATCTACTTTATCTCTTCCTATTTGCAGCTCAAGTAACAGCCAAGAAGGTCTCAGTGATTCAGGTGGGAGGTCTGGTTTTTGCTTCTCAGTAACCATTTGCAGACTTCTTGGTCTCATTGGTTTGGCCATGTCCCCCTAATTCCCTGCTGCTATCTTCCACTCCATTCCATGGACTGTCTCCTCATTGACTAAGAGAGACCAAGACACAGATTTCCTATTAAATGATGAGATCACTGGGGCATAGCTTACCCACTTATCAGTAACCCTTCTTCCAAACTGAGCATTACGGTTTAAGTATGACCATTTCTGGGGGCAGCTGGATGGTTCAGTAATACAGCACTGGCCTGGCGTTAGGAACTTAATAGCCATGTGACCGTGGGCAAGTCATTTAACCTTAGTTTGCCTTAATTCGCTGGAGAAGGAAACAAAACCACTGCAGTATCCTTGCCAAGAAAATCCCATGGACAGTACAGTTCATGGGGTTATGAAGAGTCATACACAACTGAATGACTGAAAAAAAAAAAAAACAAAAACCTGTTATACCAATCATTATGTGTCAAGGATATTACTAGGTTAGGACAACAGAGAGAGGGCGCTGGCAGAAGATAACACACAAAAGAAAGCTGGAAAGGGGGAGGAAACTTGAGAAGGTTTGGAATGGCTACAGTGAGGAGTGTGAGAGGAAATCAATCAGGGAGGAATTTTGAAAGTATTGTCTTGCTGTAGTGAGGGTTCAGTTGAAGTCAGTCAGTTAGCCAATCAACTAGCATTTATAATGTGCTAGAAATTATGCTAAGTGTTATTGATAAAAAGAAAAGCAAAAAACAGTACCTGTTCTCAAGGAGCTCAGTCTAATGGAAGAAACAACATGCACACAGCTACGTACAAACATGACACATAGAGGATAAATTGGGGGCAGTCTGAAAGGAAAGGCACTAAGATTAAGTTAAGAAGGACTGGGAAAGGCATCTTGCAGAAGGTAGGCTGACACTTGAAGGAAGCCAGGAGGCAGAGATGAGAGAGAATATCTCACGCATGAGGGACTGCCAGGGAAAATGTTTTTGGTCAGGTGATAAAACGTTGTGTTCCAGGAACAGTGAGAAGGCCAATGGCACTGGATAGCAAAGTATATGGAGGGTAGTTAGGTCTAAGGATACTGGAAAGGTAGACAGAGGTCAGGTTATCAAAGGTTTTAAAAGCCAAACAGAGGATTCTATATTTGATATTAGAGGTGACAGGGAGCCACTGGAGTTTATTGAAGACAGGGCTGGTATGGTCAGACTTAAGTTTTAGGAAGGTCAGTTTGACAGCTGAGTGGTGGATAGATTAGAATGAGGGAGAGACTAGGTAGGGAGACAAACCAGCAGGCTACTGAAATAGTCCAGGTTTGAGGTTATGAGACTTGCAATAAAATAGTCAGTGTCAGAGGGGAGAAGGGGATGTATACAAGGGATGCTATGAAGGTTGGCATTTGATTGGATATGGGGAATGTGAATGAGTGACGAATTGAGAATGACACCTAAGTTGTGAACCTGGGTAACTGGATGGTGATACGCCTGACAGTAATAGGCTTTGGGGGTAAAGATAGTGAACTTCAGTTTTAGAAATGTTGAGTTTAAGATGCCTATGGACTGTCCACCTCAAGATGTCTAATAGGCAGCTAGAGATGAGACACTGGAGGTTAGGACAGAGTTTGCTGCTGTACAAGTAGATCTGATTAAAATTATGGATGATTATGGCGTCACCAAGTAAACTTGTATTGAAGGAGAAGAGAAAAGGGTCCAGGACAGAGCTTCGGTGTATCGCCATGGTTAGTAAGCATGACCTTGATGAAAATCCAGCAAAGAAGACAGAGAAGACATTGTGCATACGATATGTAAACTGTTAAGTCTGGGAAGAGAACCAGGAGGTGGAAGTGTCAGAAAAATTTAGGGAGAAAGTGAACAACAGTGTCAAAAGGCTATAGAGAGGTCAAAATGGATGAGAATTGAGAAGAAGCCATTTGACATGGCAATTAAGAAATCATTAGTGACTTGGGAGAGAGTAGTTTCAGTTAAATGATGAAGTCAAAAGCCAGACCGCAAAAAGTTATGAAGACAGTGAGGGGAAAGGAACTGGAGGGATTGATTATTGAAGGCTTTCTCTAGGAGTTTAGCCACAAAAGACATGAGAGATATGGGATGATGGATAGATTAAGTGAGGTTTTTTTTTTCAGGATAAGGGAAATGTGGCCATGTCTATAGACAGTAGGGAAGCAAACAACGGAAATATTTAAGAGTAGGAATGAGGGAAAGAGTAGGAATAATAGAGGAGATAATCTGTTGGAGAAAACAGGATGGAATGGGATTGCTTGTGTTTGGGAGTACCTTGACCAAAAGGGCTACTTCTTCATGTGAAAGCAGGGTGAAGGAGAAGATAGTGGCAGAAGGCATCAAACTGATATGTGATGAGGAAGAGGAGAGGACATAGGGTTCTCTACAAATAACCCCAATTTTTTCAGTCAATTATGAGGCAAGGATCTCAATTGATATGCCTGGGGGAGAGGTTCCTTTGGAAATTTGAAGAAGCATGAAAATGTTTAGAAAAACTACTGTGGTGAGTGGCATAGTTAATTGATGAGAATGTGTAAAAAGATTTCCTTGTTATGGTGAGGGCCCAGTTGAAATTTAAACATAAATCTGTAGTGGTCCCAAACATGGATTCATGATTTTCTAAAACTTCATTCAGCAGAGTGTGTATAACAGCAAAAGCAACAGGTTTTGGCAGTAAGACAATAAAATGAGGTTTGGAAGGTCAAAATCTTTAAAGAGGCAAGGGATTTGAAAGAATATGACAGTACAGAACTGAACTGGGTAGAGAGGCAGGGTAGAGAGGATAGCCAGTGCAAGGGTGATAGCTTGGGAAAGAAATGATGGATTAGAAATTCTGTGGGACAATGAACAGAGTGTGGAGTTGCACATGAGAGGGAGAGATAAATGACAACAGATTATGAGCAGATAAAAGAATGGTGAGAGTTCATAAACATGGACTGGAATACCTGTAGGTAATGACAAGCTCAAGGAATAGGGTAGAGGAGGTGACCATAGGAAATGAGCAAGTTGAGAAATTGTGTGATTCGGGTCCTTACGGGCGTATCAATATATATGCTAACGTTCCCTTATATTAGGGCTGGAGTTAGAAAGACTGTAAGTTAGGCACTGAATTCACTGAGGAATGAAGGACAGTGTCCTAGGGATCCGTGGACAACAACTACCAGAATGTGGATTGGTTGATAAACATAGACTGAATGAATCTCAAAAGAGGAGACATTACTCAGTAATTTATGTAGACAAATATTCTCATTTGATCTCACTGAGCACCTAATATGTACAAAACTAGGCAATGATATTATAAGGACAAAAAGTGAAAATACTCCCTAGCTTAAGGAATTTAACATTTCACTTAGAGGTACAACATGAAAACACACTGATGAAATGAGGAGAGAGGAGCATTATTAGCGGGATCAGGAAAAGTTTTGCTTAGGTGAAACCTGAAGTGAGGCTGAGCCGTGAAGGAAGGTTAAGGACTCTAAGGGGTAGAAATGAAGAGGAAGTACATTCTAAACACGGATAAAGGGATGGAGGTAAGAGATGCAATCCAAATACTGAAGAACAGAAAGTAGAACAATTTGGCTGAATGGTAAACAAATCACTTAGCTTCTTAGTTATCCAAACAACTCTCTAAGATTACAAATCAAAGAGCAGATATGAGCCTGCTTTAGTAGGAATTACTTCATAAATAAAATTACAAGTTAAATCTTAAAAAAAAAATCCAAACTATTGAATTATAAAAACTTGCATGGTTTGCCTATTTCAAAAAGTACACAAACTAAACACGTGAATTCAAAAAAAAACATGCAGATCAGTTAACTAAAGACTTTCCCTTCTCTTTCATTCCCTAAAGATTAATTGGTCACTAAATATTCATCTAATATGTGAACTACACATTTCTTAACTTAAAAATTTATCTTCCCTAATAAGCAGAAGCCCACCTAGCTTTTCTGAAGCATTATAAAAAGAAACATTTATTGCTTTAAAGATAGATTATTAACAAAGCTAAATTTATAAATATGCCTCTATAACTTTTTAAGTACAGTGCATTCTCTGAAGGAGGATACTTTTAGGTTTCAATAGCCTAGACAGCTCTTTTTGGAAACCATAAGAGCTTCTACTGTTCAAAAATAAATTAATCAGTACTCCAGGACTAAAAATTTAAAATATTTATTTTAGTGAAGGAAATTAATACCAATGTATGAAATATATACTCTATTTTAATAGTATAAACATGGGGCTAGGTTTCTTTGTGAATTTTTTCAAAAAAGTGAGAAAGATCACACAATTTTTA